AAAAAGTCAGCTCATGTACCAGGGATAAATCCTGGTCCCACTGCCAGGGGTCCCACAAACAGACCAGGCTACAAAACTGTCACCCACATGCAGTGGTCCTAGTCCAGTCCCATTCAGGCTCCCCAGCTGTCAGTCTAGTGTCCATGAGATCCCACAATTCTGGTCATCTGTCTCTGTGGGTTTCCCCATCATGATCTTGACCTCTCCTTGTTCTTCCTTCTCTTCGACTGGACTCCTGTAGCTCAGCCCGGTACTTGGATGTGGGTTTCTACATCTGCTTCCATCAGTTACTGAATGAAGGTTCTATGATGATAATTAGGGTGTTCACAATCTGATTATAGGAGAAGGCCAGTTCAGGCACCCTCTCCACTATTGTTAGGGGTCTTAGCTGGGGTCATCCTTGTGGATTCCTGGGAATTTCCCTAGCATCAGCTTTCCCTCGCCCTGCAATGGCTCCCTCCATCGAGATATCTCTTTCATTGCTCTCCCACTCCATTGCTCCCCAAAACAACCTTCCCACTCCCTCATGTTCTCATCCATTATGCCCTCCCCTTTATGCCTCCCCTACTCCCAATTTACCCAAAAGATCTCATCTCTTTCCTGTAGATGAATTTCTAAATGGTCTTTTAAATTAAAAAAAAAAAAATGGAGCCAAATATAGGGGTGAAAGCCTTAGAGAGATCAGGGAAATGGGGAAAGCCACCAGCCAGCTCACCAGCTCTGCAGCTTCCAAATGCGAGCTACTTCCTGTCTGCTCACATTTATATGCCTTTTCTGTTCTGTTCTCTCATTGGCTCTCTTAGCCCAGCCACATCACTTCCTCTTCCTACACAGCTCTGTCACTTTCCATCTGTCCATATAGACCTCCAGACCTCTATGGTTGGTACTTAGATTAAAGGCGTGTGTCATCACACTTGACTCTGTTCCCTAGTGTGGCCTTGAACACACGGAGATCCTGCCTGCTAAGTGATAGGATTAAGGGCATGTGCTACCACCACTGCGTGACTTCTTTGTTTACTTAAAATGGCTTGCTTA